AGAGTGAAAAGACTAGCAGAGTTCACCAAAAATAAATTAAACCAGGGATAGTTACTTGGAGCACACGTGTAATGTTTTCTCCCACAGTCACTATACAAGCCGCTGCCTTGCACATGCCACAGCACTGTCCAGGTTCCTTTGTATACTTATAACCCTGTTTTGAAAAAAATAGAGAGGAAATAACATTGAGTTAGCACATTGCCCTAATAGAGAGGAAATAACATTGAGTTAGCACATTGGCCTTAACTGGTACATATTTGAGCTGAGTGGGTTAGGAATTACTGACAGCAAAATAGCACTCACTGCTGGGCAGTATGTGTCACAGATAACAGGCTCGCACTTGATGGTAGCATGGTGAAGGCTTGAGTAAGAGGATTCAGAGCAGGTGCATTCTTCACAGGGACCTGATGGAATGACAGCTCCAGGCTAGGGGACGTCAGAAAAAAAGTCATTATTAGTCATTAAAAGCAAGTTACTTTGTGTAGGTATGCCACAGACAATACAAAGCTGAACTATGTATGGGCTAAACTATCCTTAAATACAATTTTGATTGTTTTGTTTAAGCAGAGTTTCTATTGTTGGTAATATCCATTTTGAAATTAAATTCTGATAATGCAAAAAGGAGAGCAGAAAATGCTTTTGCTTGTAGGGAGGCTCTTGATATGCTGACCTTGATTAAATAATTAATAATGTTTTATCTCAGGCCTTTCTGCAAAATATGGTCCATGACAGGAATCTCAAAAACATTACATTGTGAACCTGTGAAGGTGTATTTTTATAATGAGTTACTCTATGTACTTACTGCATAGTAGGTTTCATTGACTACACAGCCATGTCCTGTAAAGAAGGAAGATAGATGGTGTTATGGAGGTGTAAGTTTTAAGAAGCAGAAGTATGTGAAAAAACTGCTGCTTTGTTGGCTTTGTTGTGTGATAACACAGATAATTTTCATTTTTCTCTTTTAAGGTTTTTGTATTCATAAATTTAGAAAAATATAGCTGTGAATAACACATGTTAACAAGAAAGTGCATAGTACTTACTGCATTCAAAGGTAGGACAGCATTTTCCAGGCTGCATTACTGTGATTACTTCTTGTCCCTCTAAGCACTGGGGTGTGACCTCAGGGCAGAGGCTAGTGTTGCAGTCTGTTTAATGTAAGAGAACATAGAAAATAATGAACTCAGAATTTTTAAATGAAAGTAATTTTTGTTTTACATTAACTTCAGAAGTTTTCCCATCGGGCAAATCTGTTGTTTCCACAAGCTAGTTTCATGACTAATTCAGTGTATTTGCTAAGCTATTTTTAAAGTGAACAGGCTTTTCCATAACCTTTGCAAAACAAAGCATTGACTGAGAAGAAGAGAGTGGTGATTGCTGGAAAGAGATACTTCCAAAGAGAAATTTGTACCAATTGGGAAATGTGATGACTCTCAGAGGTTCAGGAACTTTCTTAAGCAATTTTCAAATGTTCAAGACTTGTTTTTAAGTTACTTTTTATATACTGGTCTTTCAAACAGAAAATGCTTTGAATAGTTTTTGAATATTTTTTCAGGTGGTGACAGCATAGAAGGATAAATTATAGGAGATTTCCAGTTACTTTTCTGTGTCTTACTATGTAAAATCTTTTAATCTTTAAATTTGTTCTCTTCAGGCATCTAGTAAATGCTCTGCTAGAAGGTCCTAAGAAGTGGGATGAGGGAGAAAAGCATTATGAAATCAATGCAAATTATTAAATAACTGAGACATTATTGCTGTAGTTCCCCAAAAGGAATATAGTATATTCCCCATGATAAAGAACTAAAACAGTACTTACAGCACTCAGTCCTGGTACAGCATGGATCTTCTGGTATCTGTATCTGAACAGGTATGTAACCTGGTTCACCGCAGAATACTTGCTGCATCAGAGAACATTTGTGTTTGCTACAGTGCACTTGAAGAGTATTTTTGTCACAGACGCACTCCTGGCAATCTTTTGTCCATTTTTCTCCTGGCTATACAAAAAAGAAAAAGAAAAAAATGAATAAAAAAATTATATGTAAATTCAAACCAAAATCATTATATTTGTTTCTAGTTGACTTATTCATGGATACAGTGACACCTGATTACATCAGCCTTTTCATATTTCTAGTATCTTTAGATATTATAAGAAACCCTCAAACTGAAGCTAATTAGGGGAAGATTACTGGAGGCCACTAAAGGTTCTGAGCGTGTTCAAACCACTATTACTTTCTATTTATTAGTAGTGTAAGTATGAGGGATACAAGATGTCTAAAGGAGAAGTGAATGAGCATGCATTTTTTAATAGGAAACTATCATACAACATTTGCACATTAGGTTACAGAGAGAAATTTCTGTAATTTGTGTGCAGCTGAGGAACTAAGAACACAGACTATCAACATCAGCAACAAGTAAACCTTGTTATCTGTCTGTCCCTTCATCTCTAGTAACTTTAGCAAGCCAAATTTGTGGAAATAAAAGAAGCACATATGCCAAAGTTCCATTACTACCATCTATCTCCTTCTTTCTCTTCTCTTTCTCTTTCTTTCTCTCTTTCTCTTTCTCTTTCTCTTTCTCTTTCTCTTTCTCTTTCTCTTTCTCTTTCTCTTTCTCTTTCTCTTTCTCTTTCTCTTTCTCTTTCTCTTTCTCTTTCTCTTTCTCTCTCTTTCTCTCTTTCTCTCTTTCTCTCTCTCTCTCTCTTTTTTTTTTTCCCCAGTGTGTGAGGTGATGGTTATTGAAAGAATATCCCATCACTTACTGTTAAATTTCTTAGAGAGTAATGTGGTTTCTGCTCTGGCACTTATTTTTAAGACTAAAGGGAAACAAACATTTGAAAAAAACCTAGTCTCCCCCAATCTAAGCAAAACTTTGTTTTTATGAAACACTAAATACACTCTTGCTTCATTTGTCTGTGTTTGATGAACCACATCGATTGTGATACTCACCCATCTGGTTGCTCCATTTGGTTCTCTACAAGCTGGAAAGAAAAAACAAACAAACAAACCACACTCATGAATGGAGATTTACACCACTGAAAACTGACATAAAGGAGTAAATTTGTGCAGTTTCAAATAGAAATATTGTGAAGATAAAACTGACAAGAAAATAAATATGCAGACTAGCTCATCTGAAATGTAGAATTCTACCATTTTGGTAGGTCTCATGTAAGGAAGGAAGATGGAAAAAAGGTAATATTGATTATTATTCGATTTTTAGGTGGGGAGACTGAAGGAGCTTAAAGAGGCTGATTTGCCCATGATCTGACCATGTAGAACATGGCAGTAAAACACAGGCCTCTTGACTATCAGTCCTGTTCTCTATTTTTTCCCCAAATTAGCTACAAATGACTTACAGCATTCAGAGACACAAATGTTGCTGTCTTCACTCATGAGTGTCTTTCCTTCAGGACAGAAACATCCTTCAGTTACTCCATAACCAGGAAGCTCAACCAAGCTAGAATGGGAGGAATGTATGTATTTGAGTACAACATTTTTGCAGTAAAGCAGGAGAGACAGCAGCATATGTGGAAGGTTGCCATGTCAGATACAAGGGAGACAAAAGAATTTACATTTTCTGAAGTGCAACAGGAAGTGGATATTCATAGAGCTGATTGATATTTATAAATCTTGAATAAATTATCCAAATTCACAAGACATTTCATTGTGAAGTAATTAATTTTCTAAGGAAAGTAGATAGGTAAAAATAGAAAAAAAGAAAAATATAAGCAGTTGTTTTAGGGTGGTTTTTTTCTTTCCATACCTTGGGTCACAGGTAGGAGGATTAATGGGCCCACATGGGCTATATATCGTGGTTGCTGGACAGTTGTATGCTGTACGGAAAAAGAAGAAAAAAGATCAAAAATTGTCAGTAGATGCATTTTTGCAGCAAAAGTGACTACAGCTTTGCCTTCTTTATCTGTGGCTTCTGTGAGTAAGAACATCACTGTATTTTTGTAGATAGTAGTCAAGTGTTAGACATAAGATGTGTTTACTGAATAAAACACTAATTATTACCATTTCTCACACATATTTTTGAGTTCTGCAATACTTACGGCATGTATTGTTGGTCTTTCCTCTCCAGTCAATGCAGACACCTCTAGCAGCACACTCTGTAGCATATATCTCCAAACTGGAACACTGCATGGATTCATTGGCTATGCGACATCCATCAAAAACACAGCCTTTGAAAAACGGTTCTGGTGGTATCACGGCATGGCATTCTGCAAAAATCCTGCAGATAGAAAAGAAACCAAACCCCTTTTATGTTAAGCAGTTATTATATAAAACCCAGCAATTCTCAGTTAATGGCACGTGACTTCCTGCTTCAGGAAAGAATGTATTACAAGAAATAAAACCTTAAGAATGGCCAGTAATCTGCATATAGATTCAGGAAAGGAAATGTTAGGAAATTTGAAGCTCCACTTTTTTTCTAAAGAGGCTAAAGGTCATATTGTTTCTGTATGTGTACACAAGTTTTCATCAGTCTGACACCAGAAATTTAATGAAAAAGGAAACTGCATCAGACTGAGGAAAAAGGGACAATAAAAGTAGCTGAGAGATAGAAAAATTGCACAATACAATAGCTCATAACTTATTAGACACTACAGCAAGTACATGTAAGAGGGTCTTTATAAGTGACTCAGCTGAAAAAAAGCTTTTGTCAGAGCTCACATAAATATAGGAAATACTGCAGGAAAGAAGCCTTTGTGCTTTTGGAGCTCCATGTTTTCAATGAAATGTACAAAGAATGAAGGATGCTTTTTGGCTGAGATGTTTCTGTCTGCCCTGTTAACCTGGTTCGTAATCAGGTTCTTTATGGTTGGTACTGAAGGTCCGCTTCAAATTTAGAGTTCAGTCTTTACTTAACAGTGCAACTAAGCATGAATGAGCATACCCTGGGAGGCAGGGAGGGAGAAAGATTATGTAAATCTGTGTGGTTGCAATGCAGGGAGTATGGATATTAGTGCTTGCTGCATCCCTGTTTTTGTGACTTCACCTCTCCTTGCTCAGTTATCTTCGGCATGCAAGTCATTAAAGAAGAGCTGTTGCTTTTGCAAAGACCTTTTACTGTATATATCCAGTCATTACGCAGACTTTTTCAGCTACTATGACATGCTAGGGCTATAGTTCTTACTCTTCTTGTAAGATACTGAGACAGTTTTGTCTAGAAAGAGTGAATTAATTCAGTCTTTTCTTACTCGCTCCAAATAAGCTTGCAGAGACGAGGTGTTTCACAGTGAGGCTTTGGTGAAGGTGTGGTTACAACTGGTGGTATTGGTACTCCATGGCATGACTCGTTGCTACCAACAATCCAGTGATGAGCCATTTGGGGACAGGAAGAAATGATCTTACCACTTGGTAAACGGCATTCATCTAATTTATTATTTGTACATGTTCCTGGAAGAGACAAGCTATGTAAATCTCAAAAGCCAGATCAGAGATGCACAATACATTGTTGTGCTGATATCACATTTAGACGTGGTGTGCTCATAAAAAACATATGGTACCTTGCTTCGTAGGGAGTGCTTTCTTTACAGTTATATAAACATCAGTTTAGGTTAGGGAAAAACAAACAAACCTAAAACCCCAGCCCCAAAGAAAAAAAACAGGTTGCTGAAATATTGAGCTTCTGATCCTACAGAAGCTGAACAGCAGAGCTGTTTTCATTTCCATTTTACTGCTGTTTAAAAATTTCTGCCAATCATGAGACTGCACAGCCAGAGTGAGGAAAGAGTCCCACCTCCAATTAGTGCATCTGTCTTACCACACTGTCCTTCGGTGTTGTTGCCAAATTTGCTGTATGGGAGTTTCACAGAGAAAATCAGCCCACTAAAGGTGATGGTTGCACCAATCTCTTGTATTTCAACAATCATGTTGATGCCAAGTGTGGAGAAAGAAATGCCATCTTTTTTGAAGCCTGGTTTGACAATCTTTTTGTTGAAGTACATCTGAATGCAGGGTTAAAAAAACCACAACTTCAGAATAAGCACTGCTTCTGCCTGATTGTTTTAAATAATGCATTTTCTAATCTTCATAATTATACATAATTCCATATTGTTGTGCATCATAGCCAATGCCCATTGGTATTGCAGTAACAACATATATATGCATTAATATCTCAGCTTGTATTGCTGTATTGCTACAGTGTGATAATAATCTAAGTGGCCTCTATGTACCATGTTTGTGCAGATTGTGTGCTAATGCACAGTATTCTAAATCTAAGTATTTTCTTTGCCTCATTGTTTATTGTAAACATTTTTAATATGAAAATGAGTGGTAGTTTTCTGTAGCTACCAAAATATTCCTGCCATTATTATGTAATAACTTTGCTGTGAAATCACACTATTCCTATACTACATATTGCTCGTCATTGGAAGAGTTGTCCAAACTCAAAATGAAGTCAAGTGTCCCTTGTGCCAGTTTTATGTAGCAGTCAGATTCATTCGTTAATCTAAGCTGTTCCATTTGCAGCCTGTATCTTATATGAGCTAATGAAGGTTGACATATGCTTAATAACATTTTGTCAGGAATTATTCTGCAATTTTCTTCTCATTGAATTGGGATAAAGTAAGAGTTAAAACTGTCAGTTATTGTTTTCTTTCACAGGGAATCACTGGACTAATTGTTTCAGCATGCCTTTCTGACTGTAGGTAAGGAGAACTTGGCATGGCTCAGTAGGGGGGCAGTGCATATTGAGACAAACTTTTCCTCCCACATCTTTGAGTTCTCTGATCAACTAATAAATTCTCCAGTGTAACAGTGGGACTGACTTAGTTTTCACTGGCTTGCCAGCACTAGTTTAGGATCATGAAGGTGAAGTAACACCCCCAGTCACCCTTTTCTTTACCTCTCTTCCCAGCAGGAAATTGGAGGGGGAATCACGTCATGGCTCTGTTTGGTGCCTGAAGTTCCCTATGCAGAGGAAGGAGTCCCTAGTCATTCAGCTGATAAGGGATACATACCTATCTTCACCATGAGAGAAGAATTATGCTTGTGATTTGCATTCATGTTTCACATTCATTATGTGTTTGTTTACATAAGTGAATGGCACAGTGTACTAGTTTTCATGAAACATGAATCAAGTGTAAGTATTCTGCCTTCTGTATCAGCTGTATAGTGTTATTTAGACATACACACACATGCATGTAATATATTAATATCTGCATAGTGCTAGGCTGTTTCTGATGTTTTGTTCTTAGAAACTGGTGTAATCCTTTTTCCCTAGTGATACCCTCTGCCCTCATCACCTCTATGATATGATATTCGAACAGACTGTATTTCAAATGAGAATCAGTAAGGCCTATGGACATTATTTCTTTTTTTCAAAAATAAAAAATGGTTATTTTACCACATTGGTCATCACACCATTCATGAGTTTACGGGTCAGCACCACTTCTGCAGATTTGTAGAAAATAATAATGGATTTAGGGCAGGAAAGTCCATCTTTTGCATCACAGTAATAATTGTCAATATAAACACGGAAGTTGTCATATTTAGGTACAATCTGTTTCACCAGGACGTAAGTGCAATTTTCAAGGAAAGTATAGTAGGTTCCATCAAAAGTAATATAATGAGGATCACCCCATCCACTGCACACACCTGACAGAGAGAAAATATTTAGAAGATTAACATGAAAATTAATGTAGAAGAAAGAATTTAGAAACTGAAGTGAATTTACTACAATTTAGAGCAACCATGAGAAGACAAAATGCCCATATAATCTGTACAGTTTTGCTTTTTTCAAAAAAGGTTATTACTTAATCTACTGGTGCTTACATTGACATTCATAATGGTAACAGCAGCCATTTTCATCAGGGACCAGTATTGGTGGATATTTGTTCGCACAGGTAATTTCCTTTACAGGTGGGCAATGTGTTGGAATTACTTCTACCTTGTTGTCTCCCTTACAGATGAGTTCTGTACAGTTGGATAATTTGTATCTTTGTCCAGGCTGCAAAATGAACAAAAACTGCTGTCACAGGAGTTTGCAAACAGATATGAACTTTACTCATATTTTCAGTTTAATAGTATATTGTTTACAGTAATGGTGGTGTTGGAAAGAAAATTAATGTGTTATTTCTCTTCAATTTCTGACCATGATATGGAGGATCAGAAACTGTTTTGTTTTCCAAATATGAAGCAAAGACTAAAATAAAAATCTTCATTGACAGTACAAGGTTGCCAGTATTCTACACATTTTTTTCTTATGCTACAAGGAGGTGGGAACCTTAATTCCAGCTATTTCTTCTGCATGAGGAGATCATCTGCAGTTTGGGGGGATACTTCTTAGGTCAAGGGAACAGACCTTTGCACTAGCTATATAATCTGTACTTCACTATCACAACAGTTTACCCCTATTAAAAAAAAAAAAAAAAAAAAAAAAAAAAAAAGAATGGCTACAAAAGCACAAGTAAGAGGGCAGGACAACAGAAAAATATACAAGCCTCCACAGTAGCTTAAATTTTTCTGTATGGTGAAGAAACAAAATGCACAAGAAAACTTCCTCTATTATTTCATTAGGAGGGTTTGTTATTTATGCAATGCAGTTCATCAGAAAGTGTTTTACTAGCACTAAAATAATTAGAAAAGATTATTGTAGCTTGCTATCTCAATATGAAAAAAAATTATGAAGGCACAGAGAAATTTTATGTCATATATACTGCCTATCACTAGCAACAAGTATTCTGGCAATCTGCAAAAATACGGTTTAAAAACTGCAATCTGTTCCTTTATGGTCTGAACCTAACATTGATGTTATTTCAATGATCATAACACAGAAATTACATACCTGTAGAGGAGGGTAAGTACTAGAAACACAACCATGAAAAGGAACTCTTCCAGAAGTGGTAGGCACAGGAACTGATGTTACAGTAGACCATTCAGGGGAAGTACTGGGTAGAGGAGTAGTAACGTTACAATCGACACTGTGTCGTTCAACCGTACATGTTGCACTACAGATGGCATAAAATCTGCATCCATCACTATCCATTTGGTTGTAAATCAAATCACCTGCAGAAAAAATGAAAACCACAAGAAGATACAAGGAAAAAAGGATTGTAAAATTTTCAAAATAATTCAACAAGGCAATATATAATTTCCAATAAAAAGTTGTAAACATATTAAAAAGAAAATTAAGGAGAATGTCATGAAAAATGAACACAAAAAATTAAATACGAGGTATATAGACACGAAGAAATCAGGTAAACTAACCAGGTGAAAAAATAGAATCGCCAATTTTACAGAAGCATGGTGTTGATACAGGAGTAGAAGAAGTGGTGGTGCAGCAAGGTACAGAGGTGGTAGAAGTGGTGGTAAGGCTGGTGGTGGGCAAGGTGGTGCTCCCTGG